TGCAAGGGTCCTCATGGCAGCATCTTCCCACCCATGAGGAGCTTTTATTGGCAAACCCAGGGCACCAGTTTGAAGTACACTGTCAAGTTTCTGAGTGTAACTGAGAGTGTCCTGGAGTAGACTCTCCTCATTGCTAGGGAAAGAATTCACTTTAGAATCTACTTTAAGAAGTGAAAAAAGTCCTCTCAAAACCAAATTCCACAAAGGACTTCTAGCCTCTTCAAATAGATAAGAACTGTACTCAGGAAAATGGCATAAAAATCCTGTAACCTGCTGAAGTGTGATTTGTTATGACATTTGTGATGACTAGCAAGCTCAAATTAGTTCCTAAGCCACATTCATTAGCTTTCACTGAGCTCATGGGATAAAAACAAGTTGCATTTCAGTGCAATCAAATGCATTTGGTGGGAAGGATCACATGAGTATGGCCATTAACCATCCAGACCAGTGGAACTGTTACACTTCCTTAGGAAGTGCAGCACAATGTATATATGATGGACTTGCAAAAAATTGAGCTATATTCAATTTCACCTTAAGTGTGACAAGCTCAAGCACATCAACATGCTTAACAGCAAGTTCAATTTACAGCAAGTTCAATTTACAGCCTGTACTTACACATTGCTTTTTTTTGTAGAAGCTTATGTTTCGCATCAGAGGGACAAGCTGTGCATGACAGAGAGGACTCCTGTAATCCCAGAGAGGCCATAGCCAGGAATATTATCTTCCTCCAGGACCCCATCTGTGATTAGGAGAACAATGCTCATTAGTTTCCTCTTAACAGTTCTCTGTTCTGAAATCTCAGCACAGCTACATCTCAGCTCAAAAGGATTTCAAAAACTGCTCAAAAAAAACTAATTTCGTTTAATTAAACTTATCTACATTTTATAGACAAAGCACATCTCAGACAATGTGCAAAACTTACAGATAGCATTGACCCAAGAGATTCCACTCCTGGGTAAAGCTGCTAGCTGATAGCCCAGTGTAATTTAAGCAATCATTTTTACATGACTGAATCTGATGAATAGTTTTCTTTGTGAAAAATGGCTTCTGGCCAGACATGGACAAAAATAGACAATGAACAAGGCATTCTTGGAACAGATCAGCTTCTCTCTACTGATTCAATCGCAGCAATACCTCTTAACAGAGCTGAAAAGAATGTTCTTCTGCACTAGGCTTCTAATTCCTTGATGGTTTTGACTGACTGATTTGCCTTTGAAGTTGGGGGAGCATTTCATTATAAAAGTGTGCACTACTTTATTATAAAATGTCCACATGGTATAAACTAATGCCTTGATAGCAATTTTTACAACTTACAAAGATGATGGTAATGCATTTTTCTGGCACCTACTTTCACCTTTAAAGATAAAATTTGCAGATCCTTCTGAGAATAAACCATCAATTTGGAAGGATAAGGCTAAATTCATAGGAGCTACAAACACAAGAAAAGAGAGCAGTATAACAAACAAATCTTATGTCTTTTGTCCAAAAGTGAAGGTAATAGTTTTTTCTCACTAGAACTGTTTATTGCAAGTTGCATGTGTCTTGGAGTTACCTTAACTGTAACTTCAAGAACTTCTGGATCTTGCAGCTTGAAGCATGCTGGGTGTAAGGTTTGGCTCCACTCTGCACAGGGTCCCTATCTAATTAGCAACAGAAGTGGCTGCTGCGCAAGTGTTACTGTCCTTTAGCTGCCCAATTCCCAAAATGGGTGGTGTAAGGAGTCATCTCTTCCAGGACAGAACCAATCAGCTTATTTTAAATCTCAAGCTATTTACCACAGGAAGGTTACAGCTGGGGCAGTGACCTGCAGCATAAGAGCAGTAGCACTGAGCCACAGTGGCCATTTCTGCAGCAGCTGCAGCCTCCCACAGCTCAGCATCCCTGCTCCAAGCACACTGCATCTCTCACAGGATATAAACATCAATCAGGTCAAACTAGAGAGCAGCACGATAAAGAAAAATACCCATTAGCAGCCTTTACTAAGAGACATTTTCTTCTTGCATTTAGTATCAGTTTAGTCATATATATCCAGGATTACAGGAACCCACAGGGTCAGTTCAGTATCTTCAGATCTTGTACTTTGTTTTATAGTCTAAATTGAATGTTCTCTACCACAGTTCTCTGGTTTTTAATGTGTTGCTTCAGGCATTTCTCTCTCTTTATGAGTGTGGCCAGACGGCAAGACACACTAATCAATGCTCCAGCTGAGCTCAGTCAGTGGCAGGAGAAATTATTTTTTATTTCTATTCATATAATATTTAAGAAAAAATACCCATGTAAAATGTTGAATATTAATTTGCAATCCTTTATGTTAAGAGCCTAAATTTCTTATACTCTTCACACAATTTAATGTGCAGCATCAATAAGGTTAAGGTCTTTACAAAATGAACACTGAACATGCTGAGGTTAACACTATCTCTGCTATGACACATTTTATGTGCCTCATGAAAATACTGTAAGCTGGGGGTCTTCAGTAGCTAGCACATCTAGCGTCAGTCTATTTAACTGATCTAAAAATCCCAAACTCTTCAATGCTCTCCTGACTTTTACCTGACTTCCAGTTTTCATCCAAAGAGGCTTCAAACAAATTGCAACAAATTATCTGGCAAACAAAAGTCTTCATTATTTTGTACAACAAAAACCGATTCTGAATAAAAGCTGACAAAACTATGCCATTACACAAATGCCTAATGTGTATCTTGAGAAATAGCTACATGTAATAGATCTTAATACTATACCCAGCTATAAATCAGCACACTAGAACCATTCTAGCAGCAGAAGGAAATCAACCACTATTAATACAAAAATGCAAACTGATCTGAAAATGCATTAATTAAAATAAGACTTCCTGCTTGGCAGTTTAAGAATATCTCCTGGCCAATTGCCTTGGAAAATACTCAGCACCTTACTGAGATTCTTCTACCCCTCCTGAAGGAGTCTCCAAATGTGATTTTCTATAGGCTGCAATTACAGGGGTGAAGAAGCCTGAAACCCATCCCAGTAGACCAGTGCAACACCTGAAGGTTACAATTCTGCACAGAAGGCAGTTCAGATGCCAAGTGGGAGGCTGCTCTTGGCAAACCACAAGTGATTTAGGAGTCGTAGATCAACTACATAACGTTATCAAGGAAGCCTTTGCCTATGATTTCCGTGCTTCCACTTCTCCTGTGTAAAGCTGGGACTATAATGCTTATGAAGTACAACCTTGCAAAAGCCTGGGATTTATTCTGATGCTACAGTGGCATGCCTGGGATCAGGGGAAAAGGAGATAGATGATGGGTGACATGCCCAGCCAGCCCTGCTCCACCTGCCCATTAGCCCTGGACACATATGCCAGGTTTTTTGGCATCAAAAAAACCATTGAGAGGCCCCACATGTAAATTGAAACAAGTTCCCTGGAAAACATCCTTCAGTCAGGTCAGTTCTGAGACTGCTACAGGTTTTTTCTATTTGTGCTTCTTTTCTTAGATCAGAAAAACACTGCTAAAAGCAGGGTTAGTGAGGACCCCTTAAAGCAGACCTATAGCTGACAGGAATGATAACCCAGAAATACAGCTGCTTCTCAAAAATGCTGAATGCTGGACTTTTTGTCTTACCATTTCTAGCATATACAGCAGTTACCTGTTCTTACATACACTTGTGGCACGGAGCATCTGCCTTAAGCCCTTTCCCTCTTCTTTTTCACAAGGCTTCATTCGTTATATACACACCATACTCTCAGGGATGGACACATTTCAAGTAGATGAGCAAACTTCATAAGGATTTAAGAAACACTGGCTCTACATCCAACAACACAAATACATTAGAAACTTCATTATCCAAAAATACAAATGTAAAAGCACTTGAAAAATTATTTTTATGCAGACAAAAAATCATCACAAGATAAGAAGTGCACCACAATACTTCCAACATGTATAATTTAAATTTTAGTCTTACTGTTTAGTAGGTAAGAATCTCTCTTCTCTTTTCAGCATACAAATAAGAATATTCTAGTCAGAAACAGTAAGTCTTTTGATTTTTACTTGCTTGCCTCAACAACATATGTTCATACTTCCTAGAGCAAAGCTTTGATTTGAGAGACATCGGGTGATGTACAAGACAACTGACCATCACCAAGTACACTATGGATCTCTGAAGATCTCCAAGAAGTACACACCACTGTATGTATTGTTGTTCATACCCAAATCATCTTTGAACAGCTTTCTGCTGGTGGAGCTCTCTGCACTGCAGTTTTCTGCCTTCCTCCACAGCTACAGGAGCAGGAGCTCTGCTATCTGAGCACAGACAGATATTTTGCTGAGGCTGCTCATTGCATTCACGGCAGCCATTCACACGATGGCACATGGGACACGTGAATCAGTCACAGCAGCACCACAGCAGATCCTTCTTCATTAACAGATTCATCAGTGATGCTGGTCCCAGATCACAACATTTTCCAAGCCTGCTGTGGCACTATAGACTAAACAAACACTGTGCATCAGCTGCCAAGTAGGTCCCATCTTTCATGTTTAGCTGTTTGTGAAACTCAGTCATTTCTTCTCATTCCATATTGTCAGGAAGGAGCAGATGGCAGATGTGCTCTGCCTATAATATTGTTTTTATGATACCCTGCCTGCTGGCAGAACACTGGAAGAAACATTTGGAGGCAAGAATTTGCAGCATATTTTCAGTTTTGGGTAACTGAGCTAAAAGAGAGCATACAGTACAGAGAGAGGAGGAAAGGGATGTACTGAATAGGTGATGATAGATTCCTGTGACAAAAAAAGAAATGTGATACTGACAAAAAAGGAGTATTTAATATGCTCATATGGAAAGACCAAACAGATACAACTATGAGACAATGTGTTCCCACTCGTATGGGATTCAAATACAAAACTCAGTTTTAGCTTCTAGAAGTTGTTTTCTGAGTTGCCTAACACCAGTGACAGAATCATAACAGAAGTGATACCTGAAGGATAAATATAAGCTTTCATAACAAAGCTGAAACGGACACCATTAAGTTTACATCATGGCTCTAGAAATTTTTATTAAAATATTCTTAAAATATGTGCCTTATACATAGAAGAAAGTACATACTTTATTTTTAAGTAATATGGTCTGAGCTGCCAACAGTATTTCTTCCTTAAAAATTTTAGTACGCATTTATATCCTGTTTTCATTTAAAGCAAGATGAAAATAAAAGAAGGTAATTGTTTCAAAACTTGAAGATTTAAAATTATGAACATGCTATTGCAAAATGACACCTGGGGATTCTGGTTGAAAAGTTCATTAGAAGGCCTTATAAATCAAATATTGTCTATAACCTATGACCCAATCTAAGGCAATCCCATTGCACATAGAACTCATTTATCTACATTCACTGGGATCCAGCTGCCCAGATGCCAAATTCGTTTTGTGTAAACTACTGACAAAATGTCCCAGAGAAGAAAACCTGCAGAAAAAAAATAATTAGTTGCGACTGTTGAGCAGATGCAATACAAGCTCTTCATCCTCTGCCAGGGAAAGCCCAGTATCTAATGGCAAACGGGGATCCTCCTCTTGGCTGAATTGCATCTTCTTTCTTTTCCGTGGAATTTCCTCTGCTATGGCATTGTTGCTATAGCTTCTCTTCTTTCTTCCAATCTTCTCCTCAAGTTCACTGCAGAAAAAAATCAATTAGTCTTTTTAACAACTGCGGTAATCAGTATCATCATGTAATCTAACAATTCCTTTTAAACAAGGCAAATTTGTGTCAAGATAAGAGCAAACAAAATTACAATTCAAAAGGGTGAAGCAATGGAAGCTGATGAACTCTGAATGTCTAAATTAGAGCTGCTCTCAGACCGAGGTGGTGGTGGATATTCTGCTGTCTTAATTGATTACAGTGCATCAGGATTTTGCTATTAAGTCTTATCTAATATTTGCTGCCTAATACAGCAACAGACAACTTGACAAAACTGATTTCACGATGTGTCAGTGGACCTTGACATGCATTCAAGATCTTGCTTACAAGAAATACACACCAAAAATAAAAATATAAGAACCGTCCTTTCATTGGCAAATCCTACACTTAATACAGTTTTAATCTGGGACTATCCCATCTGATCATCTTTCTCCTTATTTCAGACATTTCCCTTGGAAGCTACTAAACAACTCTTTGCCCTGAGAGGAAGAGGAAAAGCCCAAACACAGTAATTTTCCCTGGTGAATTCCTATTTCTTCTGCTGTTTTTTTTTTTAAACTTGAATGAACTGCCTTTTGCAGCCTTCTGTCTGGATGAAGCAGCTGCCAATTTGTTTTATCACCCTGGCTTCTATCACATGACCACAATGGAGGAAAGACAGAGCTTTCATGTATCTTCATGTGTTTTTTGTCCAAAACATAGAAAAAATGTTATAAATCTTCTCACCTAAGTTTAAAACAATATAATAAAATTTATTCTAAGATACATCTGTGAACCAGATTATGAAGAGCTGGTTGTTGTACACTGTAGGGTAGCATTCATAACCCAAAACTAGCAAAATGCAAATATCCACACTCTAAATCATTCCATCCAAACGAGCTAATTGGAACAAACAGCATTCTCAGCTTTTCACATTTGTATTTTTTAAAATATAACAAAAATTGAAATGGAACTTCAGAAACGGAGTTCAGGCATTTCTAGAAAAGTCAGTTAAAATTCAGATTTTCAATTAAAATTTGTCATATTTCTACTCAGAAAATTCAGTTTCAGCAAGAAACTGAAAAAAAGAGTTTCAACAATAAATTTTTCTTCCCCATAGTTTTTAAAATTGCTCAAGTGTAAATGTAATGCTTGTGAACTGTTCCATTCAGAAATACTGTTTAGACACTTAACTATTATAAACAGCAGTTATAATAAATAGCTCTAACTGGGGATTACTGTCCTTAGAATCAACACAGCAAAGGAACCTAATGCCCAGTTCAGCCCACCTTCAGCTGCCCACCTTATTTTTTCTCATTACTAGGACTAGTTAACAGTCTGTAAAATACTGGTTTCACCACTCACTGAAAACCAGCCTAACCCAAACATTAACCCCAAACACAGCAGTTTTCAGCAAGTCCCCAGATGCTGTCTGAGAGGGATCAGCAGCACAGTGCAGCTTGTACACTGTGCTTTCTGGCTGCCCCTCCACAGAGATGAAGAAATTATTACAGGAGATCTGATGGCCTTGTCCTGGTGGGCTGCACAAGTATGACCTGCCTCCCTCTCTCATCCATCCCACCTTTCACAGAAGAATGGTGCCATCTCCCGCCTGCTCATTACAGCCCAGAGGAAGGAGGGAAATCCTGTAAGAAACATTCTGAATTTCCACAATTAAGGCAAATGTAATACCCTACCCTTTATACTGTTCTTCCCTGCCTATCCAAGAGAAAAGATGAAAAGAGTGTAAAGAAATGTGGTCAAGTGAAAGGCCCCCCTGTCCATGAGAGGGACTGCTGGATCTAGATGATCTGAAGGTCCCTTCCAACCAAAAACATTCAGTAATTCCATGAATAGATGATGACTGCTCCAAATACTCACTCATCCTATAATTTACAGGATATAGCAACTTTACTGGCTTTGAGCTGTCATTTGCATGGGGGCGGCTTTTCAGGGCTCATTACCAACATTTTATTTCTTTTCTGGGGAAAGGACTCTCATATTTCTCTCTGTAATGCTTAAGATATTCCATAAATGCTGAAGCTATACTGACAAGATATGAAACTATACGGAAGCAGAATAAATTCTCAAATTTCCAAGTGGACAGTGTGCGTCTGGGCTGGATTTCATGGTGTTAGCTTTGATCAGGACAGACTGTAGGGGTTCACTTTAAAAGCTCAAGAAAGGCCTCATTAAGTAAAAGCATTTTAGCTTGTTTGCAAAAGAGCCAATTATTTTCAGTCTTTGAATGGACTCTGAAGCCCAGTTTGCATTCATAATTGACTAATGCTTCATCTAGGACATTAGTTAAAAACATCTTAGCAATTAACCACTGCAGAAACCTCACAAGCTATGCATTTGTACCTATAAGCTATGAAACATCTGATTTTAAACACCAAAAATTATAATCACTTCTGGAGTTTCAGAGACCCATAGGTCTAGATATCTATAAGGTAAAACATTTAAATATAAAACACATTTAGAAGGAACTGAACTGTGAGATTCCTCAGTTTTTTTTCCACAAACAAAAGCACATGTACACAATTATGATGGATTTGATGGATTTTCATAAGATTTGTGGGATGATTCTGCTGAGTCAATCTGCTTCTTAGTGTTACTGAGGAATAGTGCAGCTTGATTAGCAGTGTAAACAGAAAATGCATCTACACCTAGGCAAGTGTATTTTCACACTAATTTGACCCCAGCTGGGCTGTAAACTGGAGAAGTGAATAAAGAGGAATGTATAACACAGGAAGCAGCAGCAGCAAAACCAACAAGCAACAAATAGAGTTAAATGGTTGAGTTTTCATGATGTACAAAAAGTAGATGCAAAACAGTATTTGATAACAACAGCTTCAGAAGGTAAACAGAGAATCGTGTGAAACATACGAATTAAGATGTTCCTGATTTTGAGATGCAGAAGAAAGACAGACAGACTGTCCACAGAATGATTGGGTTGAAAGGGACCTTTGAAGAACAGCAAGTCCAACCCCCATCCCGGTTCCTCCAGGACAGTTTTGCCAGCACTGGTTTGGGCGGTGTGGAAAGGGGATGTACTACTCTGAAGGAGGAGTCCGAGTTGTAGCTTTTACAAAAGGTGACCATAGCAATTTTAAAAGGGAGGTGAAAATGTGTGGCATCATGATGCTCAGAGATATCCTGTGCTCATTCAGGGTGCTTTTCCTTAGCTGTATGGACAGAAAGCTCTTTGGAGGAGTTGTAACAGGCATAACTCTCATCTCCATATCTGAAAGAACTGAGTGTGCAAAAGCAGCTATATGGGAATAACTTCTGCACTTACTGTCAAATGAATTCCTCCTCAGTCTCCATTACCTGAAGGCCTGCCATGCTGCAGAGCCAGTCCTTTTATCATTTCCCACAGACACAAATATCTTAACAAGCTATAAGGTTTAGATTTTAAATGCTTGAGAATCAGCCATTTGAAATGTGTAATCACACAGCCAAGTAGCTGTTGTTTAAACAACGTGGTCCTGGCAAGATCTCTAGACAGGCTCTGCTTCACTTAACATTTACCAAAGAATGCTTTGGAGCATAGGTTTACCAGCAATCCTCTGGAAACAAACCGCCCTTGCCACTGAACTATAGGCCATGAGTCAAATTTCCAGGCTGCAATAAAGCACACAAGCTCTTTCCCAAAGAAACGTAAAGGAATAATGAATGAATCTGCTAGTAAAATACTAGTTCAGAAAAGTTAGGAATATTTTTTCCCATAAATAGTGGCATTTTGCTAATCAAACATGCTGTGCTGAAAACTTTTTCCATGTAATAAATTTTAATTCACAAGGCCATGGCAGCAATCCTAATGAAGATTAATTACTGCAGTCCCTTCCATAAAGCCCAGTGCAGCTTCTTCCTTACTTGCTGTCAGAATGCTACAGCACATAAAAATGGTAATTAAAATATATTGTGCTGTGTTATTTTCTAGATCTGGACAGGCTGGATGAATGGGCTGAGGCCACCTCTAGGAGGTTCGGCAAGGCTAAGGTCGGGTCCTGCACTGAAGTCACAACAAGCCCAGGCAGGGCTGCAGGCTGGGGGCAGTGGCTGGGAAGCTGCCTGGTGGAAAAGGATCTGGCTGTGCTGGTCAAGAGCAGCTGAACGTGCCCCAGGGTGTGCCCAGGTGTCCAAGGAGGCCGATGGCACCCTGGCCTGATCAGCACTGCTGTGCCAGCAGGAGCAGGGCAGTGACCGTCCCCCTGCACTCAGCACTGCTGAGGCCACACCTCCAACCCTGGGCTCCGTTCTGGGCCCCTCACTGCAAGAAAGACATTGAGGGGCTGGAGCGTGTCCAGAGAGGGGCAGCGGGGCTGGGGAAGGGGCTGGAGCACAAGGGCTGTGAGGAGCAGCTGAGGGAGCTGGGGGGGTCAGCCTGGAGAACAGGAGGCTCGGGGGGAGCTCATCACTGTCTACAACTGCCTGAAAGAAGGGCGAGGCCAGGTGGGAGTCAGCCTCTTCTTCCAGGTAGCAAGTGACGGACAAGAGGAAATGGCCTCAAGTTGCACCAGTAGAGGTTTAGATTGGAAAACAGGAAATAAAAGCCTTTCTTCACCAAAAGGCTTGCTGTCAAGACCTAGAACAGGTTGACCAGGGAGGTGCTGAAGTCACCGTTCCTGGAGGTATTTAGAAGACTTGTACGTGTGGCACTGAGGGACATGGTCTAGTGAGACTTGGCAGTGCTGGGTTAGCAGTTTGATCTTAAGAGTCTTTTTTACCCTTACACTGATATAAATCAAAACACCTCTAAAACTGAATAGATAAGCCTCCATAAAGAGCAATTAAATATCTCAGTGTCCAATTTTGCAGCTAATCAGAATGACCAAGGCTTTTAAACTGAGACATTTTATAATGTCTCTCCTACGATGCTTTTCTGGCCATCACAATATTAAGTTCCGGCCTTCACAAAGTCACAGATATGACCTGACTAAGTCATTTTAGAAGGAGCACCATGATTTGCTGATAAATCATCTCAAAAGACAATGTAATGTCAACCTCATCAAGAATGACCCAAAACTTAGCAGATCATCATCAGCATCCTGCTGTAAGAAGAAGCTGTAAACAACTGCAATTTGCCCATAATTTTCATATATAAAGGAAGGCACATAACAAAGTAGCACTGACTACTAGCTTGCACACTTGTCACCAGGTGACTGTCCATAAAGTCACAAAGAGAGCAGTACCAGAACTAAGATATTTCCCCTCATGTCCACAGTCTTCTTCATGCTGATCTAGGAGTTAATGTGATCAGTCACACCCATTAAAGATTTAAATAAGATAATTATGAGGTCAATCGGAACTTTCCTCTTCCTCCACACTTTTATTTAAAGAGGTTGAAGAATAAGAAATACCAAAAACTCAATCTGACTGCAAAATGAATATTTAACAAATCCAGCTGCTTTTCCTTCACCCTGTTCTATATTCTTAGATTTTTCACCTCATTAACAATTTACATTTGATAGCCTTAAACCAAATATGATGAATGTTGCTAGATATACAAAAATTAATCTCATATTACATGCCTGAAGTCTTTAATTACTCTGCTTATAGAGGTATGGCTGGAAGGGAATTTTTATGCAAAGGCAAATTTAACTCATGATTTGTACAGTTCCCCCAGTTAAAAAAATTCTGTGGGAGGACAGAGAGAAGATTAACAATAGTTTTGACTTCTGAAACCACGGACAGATAGTCTCTTTTTAAAGACTCTTGAAAGAAGACACCCTAGGTCTCACTATTAGAAGCATTTTTCCCCTCTTAAAGCAAGGAGCAGCTAGTGTACCCAACATATTTCTATTTTAATCCAACTCTTTGAACAAAATCTCTGGATTTTGGAAATAAAACACAGAATAGAGTTGTGTTTTCTAATCTCAAAGCTCAATTTTACTGTCTGCTACTCTCAGCTGATATTTCCTAGCAACTCATCATACAATTCAATAGCAATTCTAAGAGAGCTGCATGAGGCATGAGTGTTGATTTAACAGCCTCAAATTAATTTCCTTCATTATATCTCGCTCCTTCTCAAAAGCCATCTACAGGGTTCTCAGAGCACATCACCAGACATACCTACAGTGAGCACTGAAGCTGACTTGGAGCAGCTGCAAACAGGCTTTCTGATTCTAAGGGTGCCCGAGCAAGGTGTGCAGGAAGGCAGCACCACTGGTGACTGCGGTGACAGCACAGCACGTGATGGACAATCCTGTGCTGGCCATGGCCTGCCCAGGGAATATCAGTCATGTTGTTACAGGCTAAATGGATTTGGGCACGGTGCGGGCACAAGTATTGGCCCGCAACTGTGAGATTGTCCACAACTGCTGCAACTTCGGATGGTGCCAGCTAAAACTCTTCTGGGCAATGTCTCAATATTTTGGTGCAGTAAGACAGGCCAAGGACTCTTTCCAGTAAGCAGTGTTCATGAAACCACATTTCTTCAACATTCTCCAGCTCCAAAGGCAGCTTTGATGCTCAGTGTAGGTATGTCTAGACATAAGGAAACTTTCCTGGTTTCCTTCAGTGTATGTTCTTTCTTTCCTAATCTACTCCACAGGAAGGGGAGATTATCAAGGACCTTGACTTTCTTTGAGTCCTTGCTCTCCTTAAGAGCACATGACCTGACTTTAGGGGGGCCAGATCAGACACTGATCCAACCAAAGTCTGCACTTACTGCCATTGCCAAAAGTCTGTCCGTCTCTGTCAACTTTTATTCTTAACATGCAGCTAATCTTGAGTCTAGCTGACATTCTGAGGAAAGGATCAATACAAAACCTGATGTATGAATATATACTCCACTCACAAAAGGAAAGAGCGATTTACTGCTGCTCAGAAAAAGCAATGCTTTTCCCCATCCTTGTCAGTTCTATTGGCATTCACTGGTGAACAGGCTCCAGGGGACATGGCCACCAGCCTTAGGTGGTTAGGGCTATCCAGTCCTTAAATCCATGTCCCACACCCAGTCCTGCATACTGACTCCACAACACACAGTGACACACAGGTAAGGATAATCTAGCCCCTAGGATTAACCCAGTTCAGATGTGAAAAGCAAGAGCTTTATGAACTTAGACTAGGTCTACGCTCCCATTTAGGTGTCAAGATCATCCTTTTCCATCTGTTACATGATACATTGTCAGAATCACTGAAGTGGCCTTCTTGTTGCAGTGAACAATACAGGACTTCATGGGGCATCCCTTCATCCTCCCACAGTATCTTGGCATCAACTACAGATCCTCATTCCCACCCTGTGCTTTTCTATTAAACTACATGGAACAAATTCTTCTGGTTCATACCATTATAAACACTGATTTGAATTAGTTTAATTTATTATTATACAGTTACTTCTACTGAGAGTCCATTTCACTTGAGTCTTGAGTCTGAACAATACTGAATCATAGAACTTAGCAAGTTCTACCGTACACAAATTTATTTGATACAGCACAGGTGCAAAGGGATCATGGAAGCCTTAAATCACTTCAACATTTTTCCTTCCACACAGAAAGAACCTGCAATGTGCCAGAAGTCAAATGCATTTCTGAAACAAGACAGACCTACCACTGGCCAAGTCTGAGCCCATCTGTGATAGTGGGAGTGCCTCTGGGATACCATAGTTAAGGAGAGAAAAAACAGCACAAAAGCAGCCAGGGAGAGCAGTGAGAATATGTGAGAGGAGCAGCCCTGCAGACCCCCAGGTCAGTGCAGAAGGAAGGGCAGGAGGTGCTCCAGGTGCCAGAGCAGAGACTCCCCCACAGCCCATGGTGAGGCAGCTGTGCCCCTGCAGCCCATGGAGCCCCAGAAGGCTGTGATCCCTTGGGAAGCCCATGCTGAAGCAGGCTCCTGGCAGGACCTGTGGCCCAATGGAGAGAGGAGCCCATGCTGGACACATTCACATTTGCTGGCAGGACTTGGGTCCACACTGGAGGAATGTGTTCCTGAAGTACTGTATGCTATGGAAGGGACCCACACTGGAATAGTTAAAGAAGCATTGCATTCCACAGGAAAGAAGATTGTGGAGAAAGTCACCTGTGGGAGAGACCCCACATGGGAGCAGGGAAAGGATCCTCTCCTGAGGAGAAAGGAGTGACAGAAACAACGTGTGATGAACTGACTGCAACCTCCATTCCCTATCCTTTTGTGCTGCTGAGGATGAGGATGCAGAAGAAATTTTAAGTTAATCTGGGGAAGAAGAGAGATATGGGGAAAAGGTGTTTTAAAATTTGGGTTTATTTCTCATTACCCTACTGTCATATGATTGGCAATAAATAAATTCATTTTTTCACAAGTCACATCTGCTTCATCCATGACAGTAGCTGGTGAGGAATCTCTCTCCTGGTGTTATCTCAACCCCTGAACTGTTCACTACATTTTATCTTCCCTGTCCAGCTGAGGAGGTCAGTGATAGAGTGGCTTTGGTGGGCACTGGGCATCCAGAGAAGTTATACCTACCACAAAAACATATGAAACCTCCAGGATATTAATCAAGATTTTTGCATGTGAAACAGTCTCACCAAGATCCCTACAATATAGACTCAAAAATCATTCTTATACAACTTCACAAAATAAAATATTAGCCTTTAGCTCAGATTTCTGTTCAGCACCTAACACACAACCTTTTATAAGTCAAATACTAAATCCCATGGACTGTAAGATGAATTCCTAACATGTAAACAAAGCACTTTATAAAAAACCATCATTTTAAAATGAACATAGAAGATGGTGCATACCTATAGCTGTCTTCACTTTCTGAATCCTGCTCTGCATCAGAGTCTTTGTATTTATCAGGATCTGGGAGAGTGCTTGGATCAAACTCTTCTTCACTTCCACTGTGATCAAGAAAGGCCACAGTTTCCTCTTCAGCCTGTGAGGTGACAAAGGGAGAGTTACAAGACAAGCAAACTAGTCCATGTTACTTGTCATAACCCCATTAATAGGGAGGCTGTAACAAAAACCACTGCCCTCAAATGCAGTCAAACACCACCAGCATTATAGCCAGGAAAAGAGAATCATTTCTGTCATCATCAGCACTCTCCTCCAAGGCTGTTTGTTAAAGGTTGAAGAAACATTATTTAAAAAGGAAGCACAAGGATTTATGTTCAAATTCTACTTTCCAATATTGTAATCTTAAATCTATGAAATCAAGGAGAGATCTGGGCAGCAACTAATGAAAAGCCATCTGAGAGCAAGTGTCTAAGTAATATGCAGCTTTACTGCCCCTCAGAAACACACTGGCAAAGAGATACTCACAGCTGGACACATAAATTACTGCTGTTAGGTGAATTTATGAAATAGTCTGATTTAAAACTCATCTGGGTGTTCTTGCATTTAAAAACCAAAGAGCTGCTTAACCTGAATTAGCTGCTCTAAGGGAGTTTCAACCATCCTCTGCAAGGGATACACATTCTTCAGGCATCTTCCCAGATCCCCTCATCCCTCCTCTCTGGGACTCAGCCTCCCTCTGTCCCCACAGCACATCTCAGGATGGGTTGATGGCATTGGCAAGTTTCCCCAAGGGGTGCCAGTGCCTCGCTAATTCCTTAACAAAGAGAGCACAGAAGATGCTGCTCCATAAAAGTACTGGATAATATAAAAAAGCTGGCTAATTTTGTAGATACAGGTTCTGCTCCACTGAATCCTGAACTGATGGCACTTTTGTAAATTTTTGCTAGCAGGCAAAAAGTAACCATATACACTGGAGGGCACATGCAATTGCATTTGCACACAGAAATACAGACAGAAAGCTTACAGGTATTTCTAAGCAACGTGAACCCTAGGTCCATGCATATTTATGCTGGAAAGCAAAAACTAATTCCAAGAAATTATAATTAAAGACATTGCTACCTTTTGTTTATATATCTAATCAACATGCACACAGCTGAGTTTCTAAAAATGTACTCATTTAAATGATCTCTCATTCTATGAATAACTTCACATCATTATATATTTAAAGTTAATTTTTGTTTTGCTTTTTCACCATTTCTATCAAGTTTTTAAAGAACAGTCTTTATGTGCATGTACCTTCCTGCAATAAAAATAAATTTAAAAGTCAAACAGAAACCATACCAATGGTCTCTTTTATATCTGCATATACAGTGAGTGAAAGGCAGTGAGCTGGTGAAGGGTAAGATTAGTCACCACTGCAAGAGTCCATTCTTGCTTGAACTGTGACACTTCTGCAGTTTACTGAAAGCAAATAGAAAAAAGGGACAAAAGCCAGATTTCCAATCAGAAGGCAGAGAAAAAACATACTGAACATACATTTTGTTCTTTACTACTTTAAATACCAGTAAAAGTATATATAAATATATATAGCTGGGTGTATAAAATTATTAAAAGCATTGTCAGACTCTTCAGCACTGTAAGTTTCTGAAGGTAACAACCACCAACAGAAAAGCATCTCAGGAACTTCAGGTACCACTTCACAAGAAGGTTGGTTTTGGTTTGGCAGAGTTTTTGCTTACAAAAAAATGTCTTCAAGCTCATCTCTTAGTACAATATTATAGAGCATTACTAATGCCACAGAAAACTATTTTGAAGGTCACCTTTTTGCTAATGAATTTTCTTATCTGAAAATCGTTCTGCATTAAATTATAGTTTATTTTAATTTCTTACAACATTAAATATTTGCTCTTTACTTGTCTTTCCACCTGCACCTATTATTTTCATATAGCTGGTGCATACCAATCTTATATTGAAAAAGAAAAGAAAAAGAGAAGTATCATTCAAAGCTATTGTATGAAATAATGTATTTTTAATATGTATGCATGACACCATGAAACAGAGTTCTGTAATACTAACATTTATTGGCAGTCATCTTTTAAAACTTGGGCTGTTTATTAATATTCTCCATTATAACACACAGACCAAGCCTTTGCTTTAATTACACATTCATATTAATTTTGTCCAGCAGAAAATATGCAGAGAAGTGTTAAACATAATGCTTGCTATAGCAAAAGAAATAATTGGCAAAGATGCCTCTTTCACTCAACAGGAATAATGAGGCTGTATTTCCTTTAAGTATCACTGCTTACGTATTCATTAAAATATTTCTAAGACCCTGAAAATGTTAAGAACCTGAGCAGGAACATTTATCATCCACAGCTGAACAACAGAAACTCATTATTCTTCCTCTCTCACTTCAAATTTATATCAGCCAGTCAGGAAGAAGAAGCCTTGCAACTTCACATTACTCACCACAAGAGCTGGAGAAAAGAAGTAAAATCATAGTTCAAAATGACACATGTAAAAGTTCTTCAGACACAACTAGGATGTAATTTACAGACTGAGGACTAGACCTGTCCTAAGGTAATTGCCATCAAAAGAGATTAGAAGAAGAGATTTTGATGGCTTGTACTTTACGTCTAAGGCTGGCTGCAATTAACACACACTTTGGAGGGTGTATTTATTGTGAAGCTGAACTGTGGAAGGAAACTTGCCATGCTGGACATCAAAGACATCAAATCAGGCTGGCCAGGAGAACTGAATTCAGTGGCAACCATCTTTTCACTCTGCTCAGGGATGACAAGCTCTCTCTTTGTACCACACCAGCCCATGTATTTTCTAATTCTAGTTCAACAGCAACCTGCACAAAGACTTTCAGTTTGAACATAACACTGAGATGCAATAATTTTTGCATTCACACAGTCTCCCTCTGAAGGAGAGAGTCTTCTTATGCAAACTCAACATTTCAGAAAAATTCAGCAAAATTTCTGTGCTGGAAGTTTTGGAAACCTTGTTGCCTTCAACATTCCACACTGTACTAAGTCAACAATCACATTTGACTTTACTGCAGTAATTCTGTAAACATACACCCTGTGACACAGACAGGACAGGCTCCTCTAGAGCTTTTGCCATGTTTATCAACAGAATACCTCCAACTCACCTTCTGTCTTTGTTACAAGATGCAATGACAACTTCCCCTTCTCCTAAAGGGGCCTGAATGGCTGATGGAGCTCAGGTAAATTAGTTACACAGGCTAAGATAAAGTTAAAATTAAGAAACTGATGTACCTCAAACACCCAAGGGACTCGAATGTTCGAAAAAACCAGAATGATGTCTCATTTCTACCAGGCAATAGGCACTTAGGTAGCAATTATCTGACTATTATCAGAACAAAAAAAAATCACAAAAAAACCAGCAAAAAACAAAAAAAAAGAAAAAAAAAAAAAAAAAAAAAAAAAAAAAAAAAAAAAAAAAAACAAAAAAAAAACCAAACCACAAAAAAAAACACCCACAAAAAACCAATTGAACAACAAACAACAACGAAAAAGGAAAAAGAGAATTGAAAAAAACACCATGAAGACCTGTACATATCAAAATATTGTATTTACCAAGATTTCATTTCTAAAATGCATATCTGTTACGGTATTTCATTTATATCTAATTTAGTAAGTTTTTTCTCTCCAATTAAATTGTCTAGAGTTGTACTTTTGAACCCTTTAGGCAATTTATCAGTTTCTAGCAACCAGGTTGAGGGGAGAAATAATTGCTTAAGCCCTATCAGTTCTGTCGATAGTACTTTACAAAGCACAGTGGGAGAATATTTCCAATTAGCTGGAAATAAAACTCTTAAGGTTTGTTTAGAATTTGATCACAGTTAATTTGAGTCCATCACACTTACACAATATTCAGTCCTTTTTGAACTATGCCGCATTTGGTTTTTGCTACTATGGCCTTTCCCAGTAAGTCGTGCCTGTGATTGTAATGCCATGAAAAGGTAAGTTCTAAATGCTGCTGGGAGGTTACCCAACACAGGTACACAACTTTCAAAAGTAAGCATATTATGGCTCATATAACAGCATATTTGAAAATGAAGTATCTTGTAAGATCTGACAACATTCCAAATTTTCTTTATTTTCTTCTTTTTGACAATTATTTTTTAGATGAAGTTTGCTTTTGTATCATGTTTATGATGGAAGCCATTTATATATACAGAGCGGTTTTATAGCCTTTCCTTTAAAATATCGTACTCTGGATTCACCTGATCACCTCACAGGTTTGGGCTTTTTTCATAGCCTGTACCCCTGCCCAACACACTGTCCCCAGCTGATGAATGATTGGTGAATCATCTACATTGCCCCAGAGGAATACTTTTCTGGCAGTTCAAAAATCAAATGCAGCCTTTGATATTGCTAGGGTGTTTGATCCAACAGTTGTTTTGAAGATCAAGACAAAAGTCTTAGTCTATACTGGAAACTGACTGGGAGTCAGTGGAGCAAGCTATGAGTGGTCTGACAAACAGAGAGCTGTCCAAGCTGTGCCAAACCTCACAGTTCCCCTCTGTACCAGCTAAGGCGTATCCATGTTCAATGGCTCTGGCCAGGTAGGATGGTCACCAAAAACTGGGGAAACCAATGTTCTAGGTTAGTCAGCCAGACACGATCCTTGCACTGAGATGCTCTCACCAATCTTTGGGCTCTGGAATGAGTTGGTCCAAGTTCCTGGCTTTTACAACACTTTAGAGAATTTGATTCTTGATTTTCAACAGAAGGGACAGATAACTCTTAGCTTCATCTTCAGTCATTCACCATTCCTGATCACTAGCAGTCACATCAAGGCTCAATTTCATGCAGTCATTTTTTATTTCTAACAATACAGTATGCCTCGTTTAGCCAGCAGAACCTTACTTTTACCAGCACTCTCACATAATGCACATGAGAATACTTCATTTTCTTTCTCGGCTTTCCTAAATGCCCCACATTTTATGGTCAGTGAATGGGTAAGCCTGTGTTCCAAACAAGCAGACACTGATGCATATATTCTGACATTCAAATTCCTGTGTAATTGTAGCAAAGCAATTTGTGCTGGAAATGGCTCCTGCCACAAGCACAGTTCAGAAGTACTGAAAACACAAAACTCATA